GTTTTATTGGTAGCGTAGTGCCGAAGGCACTTGACTGCTAACCAGAAGGCTGGCGGTTCAAACCCACCAGCCACTCCTCGGAAGGAAGGTTGGGCAACCTACTTCCGTAGTGATACTGCCTCAGAAACCTGAGGAGGGGTCGCAGTGGGTCAGGTCTGACTCAAGGGCACATAACAACAACAATTGACTGTGCAAAGGCATTCAACTGTGTGGATTATAACAGATTACGAATCTCATTGCAAAGAATGGTAATTCCGTAACAATTGTGCTTATGAGGAATCTGTAAATAGATGAAGAGGCTGTTGTTCAAATAGAACAAGGGGACACTGCGTAGTTTAAGATCAGGAAAAGTGTATGTTAAGGTTGTATCCTTTCACCGTACTTAGTCTGTATGCTGTGCAAATAAACTGAGAAGCTGGACTCTATGAAGGAGAATAGATCAGGATTGGAAGAAGACTCATTAACAACCTGCGATATGCAGGTGATAGAACCTTGCTTACTGAAAGTGATGGTGACATGAGCACTTAACTTTGAAGAAGTTCAAAGACTACAGGCTTCCGTATGGATTACACCTCAACATACAGAAAACAAAAATCCTCACAACTTGTCAAATAAGCAACATCACAGTAAATGGAGAAAAGATTGAAGTTGTCAAGGATACCATATTACATGCATCCAAAATCAACTCCCATGGAAGTAGAGTCAAGAAATCAGATGTCATATTGCACTGGGCAAATCTGCAGCAAGGGACCTCTTTAAAGTATTAAAGAGCAAAGAGGTCACTTTGAAGACTAAGATGTGCCTATCCAAGCCATGGTATTTTCACTGGCCTCATATGCATGTGAAAACTGGACAATGAATAAAGAAAACCGCAGAAGAATTGATGCCTTTGAATTATGGTGTTGGCAAAGAATACTGAAAATACTGTGGAGTGCCAGAACAAGCAAATGTGTTTCGGAAGAAGTGCAGCCAGAATGCACCTCAGAAGCAGTGATGGCCAGAGTTCATCTCACCTACTTTGTCATATTGCCAGAACTGACAAGTCCTTGAAGAAGGATATCATGCATGCTTGGTAAAGTAGAAGGTCAGTGAAAAAGGGGAAGATCCTCAATGAAATGGACTGACACAGTGGCTGCAACAATGGACTTAAGCATAGCAGAGACTGTGAGGATGGCACAGGACTAGGCAGTGTTTCATTCTGTTGTACATAGAGTCGCTATGAGTTGGAGCCCACTTGACAGCACCAAACAACAATAACAACACACATAATAAAGTGCTAAGACAATATGAAATAGAATAGTGTTTTGGAGTTCATTGTAAAGTAATATAACCTACAGTTATTGTTGAATTTTAGTTATTGTTAGGGATTGTTGTTTTGGTTGTCATTGAGTCAATTCCTATTCCTTGTCATGTGCCCTCGAGTCAGATCTGACTCAGCAACCGCTCCTTGGGTTTCTGAGGCGGTATCACTATGGAAGTAGATTGCTTAACCTTCTTTCCAAGGTGTGGCTAGTGGGTGTGAACCACCAGTCTTCTGGTTAGCAGTCAAATGCTTTAGGCACTATGCTACCAGAGCATAGTGGTAGCATAGTGTTAGGAATCCAAAAAAAAAAAAAAAAAAAAACACTCCCTTTAAGTTGATTCTGACTCTTAGCGACCTATAGGACAGAGTAGAACTGCCTCATGGAGTTTCCAAGGCTGTAAATCTTTATGGAAGCAGACTGCCTCGTCTTTCTCCTAAAGAATGGCTAATGGTTCTAGGTTTGAACTACTGACCTTTTGGTTAGCAACTGAATCCTTTAACCACTATGCCACCAAAGTTCCTTATTGTTAGAAATAGGAGTAAAAAGTAATAGTTCTCAAAGTAGCTAGAGATGAGATCTAAACAATAATGGTTAAGTGCTTGATGAGTGGCAAACAAAACATTGCTGTAGTAATTTGCCATTTACAACAAGTATCCATTTACAGAGCATGATACCCTTCCAGGTATTCTGAGAAAGCCCCTACTGAAGGTTCAGTATTAAAAAAAAGTTGGTTCTGTTATTCTAAGCTAGTTCTTTATTTATTTTTTCCTTTAAATTTTATTTATTTTGTTGTTGTTGAAAATATACACAGCAAAACATACACCAATTCAACACTTTGTACATATACCATTTAGTGACAGTGATTGCATTCTTTGAGTTGTGCAACTATTCTTACCCACCTTTCCTGAATTATTCCTCCCTCATTAATGTAAAGGAGAGGAGCTTGGGTGGTGTAGTGACTAAGGCATTTGGCTGCTAACCAGACAGCTGGCGGTTCAAACCCACCAGCCACTCCTCAGAAGGAAGAATGGGCAATCTACTTCCACAGAGATGTTGTTGTTGTTGTTACGTGCCATCGAGTAGGCCCCAACTCATAGCGACCCCTCCTTGGGTTTCCGAGGCAGTATCACTACGGAAGTAGTATTGCCCAACCTTCCTTCCGAGGAGTGGCTGGTGGGTTTGAACCGCCAGCCTTCTAGTTAGCAGTCAAGTGCTTTAGCCACTATGCTACCAGATCCACAGAGATAGTGCCTTGGAAACCCAGGGAAGGGTCGCTATGAGTCAGGACCAACTCAACAGCAGTGAGTTTGGGTGGGTTGTTTTGTGTTTTTTCTGTTTTTTTTTTTTTTTTTTTTTCAGTCATTAATGTAAACTCAGTGATCCCTAAGGTTCCTATCTAATCATTTAAGTTGCTGTTGTCAATTTGATGCCATATAGATAGTTCATAAAAGAGTATAATGTTAAGCCAGTCACTTTTCACTAAACTATTGTTTGGTTTTAAGAAGACTTCAGGGGATATTTTTGGTTTGAGGCTTAAAGATTATCTCCAGGCAGTAGTTTCAGGGGTTCATCTACCCTCCATAGCTCCAGAAACTCTAGAGTCTATGAAAGTTTGAAATTCTGTTGTGTATTTTTCCCCTTTCTAATCAGGATTCTTGTGCAGACTCTTTGATCAAAATGTTCAGTAACTGGGCACCATGTAGTTCTTCTGGTCTCCAAACAAAGGAAGTAGTTGTTGATGGAGGCATCCCATATCCTCCTCCTGTCCCTGACTCTCCCTCCTTTGTTGTCAAAGGTCTGTAGAGACTAATTGCTATACCTTGGATGACTGCTGACAAGCTTTTAAGACCCAAGGCACCACGCAATGAACTTGGTGATAGAACAGGAGCACTAAACATATTATTAGGCCTCTTAACTAGGATTTCCCATGAAACCATGACCCTAAAACTCCAAACCAAGGAACCAAATCCCATGGAGTGTTTGATTGTACATAAGCAGCCTCAGCAGCTACTCTTTTCTTTGTCATTGTAAATATATTTATCACACAACTTTTGCTAATTCAGCTTTTTACAGGTGTACAACTTATTGACAGCAATTACAGTAATCAGGTGTGCAACCCTATCCTTAAATCAATGTGATTTTTCCATCACCTTTAACTCCTCTTTTCCCTCTCCCTCCTGCCCCTGGTAAGCACTAATAAACTTTACCTTTCTATATAAGTGAGGTCATATGATATCTGTTCTTTTGTGATTGATTTATTTCACTCCACATAATGTTTTCAAGCCCATCCATACTGTAGCATGTATCAAGATTTCATTTCTCTTACTAGCTGAGTGGTATTCCATTGTATGTATATACCACATTTTGTTTATCTGTTCAACTGTTGATGGGTATTTAGGTTGTTTCCACCTTTTGGACAAGTGGCTCAGTGTCTGGGTTTGGGGTTTTTTGGTTTAATGGCCACAGTGCTGAACATCTTTTCATATATTTGGTGGCCGTTTGAATACCCTTTTTGGTAAAATGTCTGTTCAAGACCTTTGGCCATTTTGTAATTGGTTTATTTGTCTTTTTGTTAGTAAGTTTTCTTTATATTTGGGTTATTAGATTCTTGTCAGATACATGGTTTCTGAAGATACTCTCCCACTCAGTAGCTTCACTTTTCACTTTTTCAGTAAAGTCTTTTAGTGAACTAAAGTTTTTAATTTTTATGAGGTCCTATTTATTTATTTTATCTTTTGCTGTTTGTGCTTTTGTTACTACGTTACATAATCCATTGTTGAAAGCTAGGCCTGACAGCATGACCCATGCTTGTTTTTCTAAGAATTTTCTGGCTTTTTTAGTTGCACATTTAGGTCCCGAATCCATTTTGAATTTGTTCTTGTGTATGGTATGAAGCAAGGGTCCTGTTTCATTTTTCTACATGTGGCAATCCAGTTTTCTCAGCACAGTTTATTGAAGAGATTCTTTCCTCATTGATTGGACTTAGCACCATTGTCAAAAATCAGTTGATTATAGATGTATGGATTTATTTCTAGACCCTCAATTCTATACCTTTGGTCTCTGTGTCTGTTGTTAAATCAGTACTAAGATGTTTTGATTATTGTAGCTGTATAGTAAGTATGTTTTAATGCTTCCCATTTTTAAGAATAATTTTATATTCTTAGAAAGCAAAAGTAATGTTTCCTTTTTTAATTTTGTACTAGATGCTGTGAGAGAAATAAGAAAATATTCCTCTGCTCATGCCATTGAGAAGAGCGTAACCAGCAGACCTTTTGCCTATGAACATACACAGATGAAACTTTTTAGGTCTCAAAGAAATCTTTACATTTCTGGATTTTCATTATTTTTTTGGCTGTAAGTAAAAAAAAATAGAAGCACAATTTAAAACAGAATTTCTATTTCTTTTTTTTTTTTCAACCTGTACTGTTGTTTTCTGTGGTTTTCAGTATATCAGTATCTTCGTAAAAGAACTCAGATGATAAAACAAACCATTGTTACTGCTTGTAGCTTTGTTAAATGAGTAAGGTCTGCAGGATCTGGTCCCTGCCTCTCTCTTGAGACTTGTTTTAAACTATTCTGCCCTATATACACTACGTTCATTCCACCAACACTGACCTTCACTCTTCATTTATCCTTGCGGCAAATACTTAATGAGTTCCTAATTGGGTACCAAGCTCCTTCCTACTTCAGGATAGTCACATACACAAAGATCTTTCTACCAGACACTCTTCCCCTTCCCTCTTTACCTGGCTAACCCCTACTTAATTAACTCCTACTTAGTTATCTAGTGCTCCTACAATAGAAATACCACAAGTGGATTGCTTTAACAAACAGAAATTTATTTTCTAACAATTTAGGAGGCTAGAGGTCTGAATTCAGAGTGCCGGCTCTAGGGGAAAGCTTTCTCTCTGTCAGTTCTGGAGAGGGATCCTTTTCTCTTTGAGCTTCTACTTGGGGGCAGTCTTTACGTGGCTTGGTATCTCTATTCCCCTTTCTCTACTGCTTTTAACTTGCTTGTTTAATCTCATTTGTATCTCAAAAGGGACTGACTCAAGATAACACCCTACATTAATCCTGCCTCGTTAACATAACAAAGACAGCCCATTCCCAAATGGGATTATAACCAAAAGCATAGAGGCTAAGATTTATAGCACATATTTTGGCGGTACACAATTCAATCCATAACACCTGTCTTAGTTTCCTGTTGCTGCCGTAACAAACTCTTGACTAAGACACCTTCTGTGACCATCACTCTCCTGTTTTACACCCTCATAGAACATACATATATTTTCTTGTGTCATTAACAGTTGCAGTTAAATGCTATTTTAACTCTAACCTCCAATCTAGAATCTAAACTTCTTGAGAACAGAGACTTTGTCCAATTCCACTGTTTCCCTAGTGCCTAGGAGAGTATTGGCCACTTAACAGTCCCTGAATAAATACTTGTTAGATGAATAACTAAAGATGTTAATTTAGTACTTCTAAAAATGAAGTTCCCCATAAATGTATGTGAATGGCAGTTCAGGGGCTTGACTGCCTTACACAATCCTCTTTAAGTAGTAAATTTTGAGCTGAGCCGAAAGAAAGCTAGCTTTGCCACACCCTCTTAAATGTTCTTGAAATTCTCCTCTGGGTCCAACAAACCTCTGCAAGGAAAGTAATTAAACCAATAAGTAGCACTAATGATATTTCAAATGCTAGTTTTCTAACGGATTCCAAAGGAATGAAACATAGCCTTGTTTTGACTGGGGGATTTGGATTTTTGTTTAAAAAATTTAAAGCAGGTGTTGTCTTAAAAACCACACCTATATCTAAAGGAGAATCCTTTGAAAATGACTGTCTTAAAATCACAATTTCTGATGATTAGTCTGGTTATACTGTACCCTGAATTTTTTTTTTTTTTATTAGAGTGTTAAGACGTCTGGTTACCCTCATTACTCAGCTGGCAAAAGAACTGTCAACCAAAGGAGCACTTAAAAGTCAAACAGAAAAGACTAACATGGCTGCCAAAAGATTTATGGAAGAGAATGAGAAACTAAAACAGGTATTTTAATTTCTTCTTAAAATCTGAGTGAATGTCATTTGTGTTCCCAAGGAGTAGTATATTATTTTTCAGCATCAAAAAGAACATTTTCTCACTCCCTAAGTATAAGCAGAAAATGACCATAAGTAGCAATATTGTTCTATGAAATGGTTGTTTCAAAAATACCTTATTATCCTTAGATTTGTTTGTTCTGTCCATTTCCTTTCACAGTAGATTAATGCCATTTGGATCTACTTCCTATGATTTGAGGAGAAAACAGTATTCTGAGATTATGAATTTTAATTTCTTTATTACCATTATTTTTGCCTAAAGCAAATCTTTATAAAAACTTAGGTTTTCATTTCCTTTTCAGTTAAATTATTCTGTTAATCCCAGTATAGGAAGCAGAGGGAAGTAGATAGATCAGTGATTGTACATCATATTAAAAATCTTTAGTTTAGTATCACTAATAGTCCTTGGCTCTGGTAGCATAGTGGCTAAAGCACTTGACTGCTAACCAGAAGGCTGGCAGTTCAAACCCACCAGCCACTCCTCGGAAGGAAGGTTGGGCAATCCTACTTCCGTAGTGATACTGCCTCAGAAACCCAAGGATGGGTCGCTATGAGTCGGGGCCAACTCGACGGCACATAACAACAACAATAGTCCTTGAGAAGCTACTCTGTCCTTCAAGAAGATTGTGGATCAAGTGGTGATATTTCCTCCATTGAATAAGTAAAACAATGAATGTTTCTGTTGTTGTTGTTTTAAGTTTAAAATGTAGGAGTCAGATAGAATAGATATTTTCAATTCATATTAATCCCCATGAGGTTTATTAATTCTGCTTCTTAGAAAAAGGAATTGATGAAACCATTCAGAAGTGAAGCAGACTCTTTTTTATAGCAAATATTCCAAAAATAATGCAGTAAGATTATTTTATTGTTATAAATTAAAGAAATGGAAGTGGTGGTTACCTATTACACCAAGTTGTGTTAATGTAAAAATACGGAGTTCTGCATTAGAATATATATATATATATGAATGTTGTTGTTGTTATGTGCCATCAATCAAAAAAAAAAAAAACAGTGGAGTCGAATCCAATTTATAGCGACCCCTCCTTGAGTTTCTGAGGCAGTATCACTTCGGAAGTAGATTGCCCAATCTTCCTTCTGAGAAGTGGCGGCTAGGTTGGAACCGCCAGCCTTCTGGTTAGCAATCAAATGCCTTAGGTACTACATTACCAGAGCTCCTATGAATATATATATAGAGAGAATATTTAAATGAATCCTAAGGTCTAGCCTCTTATAAGAAGAACTATACATACCACCTTTCATCAGTCCTAAAAATGATTTAGCTATTGTCATTCTCTGTATTCTGGTATCAACACTTGCATTTTAATTTTGAGCACATTATAGAGGGGAGAGGAAAGGAAAGCCAGGGCGTCCAGTACCAGCAAGTGGCAGAGGGATCCAGGTGGGGGGAGCGACCCGGGACCCAGCCCCCAAGCAGCAGAAAGGGTGGAGGGGAAAGGAGAGGAGGGCCAGCATGTCCAGGACACAGCAAGCAAGCGGCAGAGGGATCCATGTAAGGGAAGGGACTCAAGCCCCAACCCCTAAGCAGAAGGAAAAGCAGAGGAGAAAGGAAAGGAAAGCCAGGGTGTTCAGGAGAGAGAGTGCAAGTGGCAGAGGGATCCAAATAAGGGGAGGGACCCAGGCCCCAAGCCCCAAGCAGCAGTAGAAGCGGAGGGGAAAGGGAAGGAAAGCCAGGGAGTCCAGGACAGAGCAAGCAAGCAGCAAAGGCATCCAGGTAAGAAGAGTGACCCCTGACCTAACCCCCAAGTGCCAGGAAAAGCGAAGGGGAAAGAAAAGGAAAGCCAGGGCATCCAGGACAGAGTGAGCAAGCGACAAGGATCCTAGTAAGGGGAAGGTGGAGAGGTTTTGAACAGCTAAGGGAGACAAACTTGTCTGTCGGTTTGTCATGCTCTGGTGGTGTGTTGTTGTGAGGCTTGAGGCTATGCCACCAGTGTTTCAGATACCAGCGGGGTTACACACGGTGCACAGGTTTTGGCATAGCTTGCAGACTGAGACAGACTAGGAAAAAGGAGGAGGCCATCCACTTCTCAAAGAATTGGCCAGGGAAGACCTTATGAATAGCAGAGAAACACTGTCTGTTACATTACTGCTTAACTTTATGAATAGTCCAGAAACACTGTCTGACACAGTGCAGAATGATGAGCCACTTAGGTTGGAAGACTCTCAAAATAGGATTGGGAAAGAGCTGCCCCATCAGAGTAGAACCACCTTACTGATATGGATAAAGTAAAGTTTTTGAGACCTCCATTTGCTGAGGCAACACAACTCAAATTGAGGAGAAACAGCTGCAAACATCCATTAATAATCAGAACATGGAATGTACAAAGTATGAATCTAGGAAAATTGGAAGTTTTCA